CCCAAGTGACTGCAGAAAACATTTTTCTTTCTTTTTGTGTATCTTAAGACTCCCACATGTCCTGCAGTAAAGAACTCATAAGGAGTTCTCTTTTCCCAGCTCAGCCCATTGAAAAAAATCAAAACCCCACAACCTCATATATAAACCAAGTAGGCTAGAAAGGACCAATGCTGTGAAGCTGGATCAAGCCTAGCTTGAAATTTGATGCATACATTCCAATTTTTCCAAGGCTGATTTGCTCAGAAGGGTAACAGGACTTTGTACCTTGACTCCTTCCCCCATCCCTTTTATTGTGGTCTATGTCCAGTGGTGGTGAGTGCCACAAAGTTCTCTTTATTGCAGAATGGTGTGAGTGCCACAACGTTCTTATATTGCAGAATCCCATTAAAAAAAAAAAAAAAAAAGTTTTATTTCCATTTCATTCTTCCATTCTTACTTCAAAGGAGTAAAGTAAGATTTAGACATATAGGAAGACAGCTTCTTTAAGAGGGTGAAGCTTTTATTATATGAAGGTCATGCAAAACAGTTTCCTTTTTGTTTTAATAAACTGTGATGCATCTTTTATGTTCTGTGATAGATGGGACTAAAATAAGATTTTTCTAGCAAGCTAATCTGGTATTCATGTTTTCACGGCATCTTTGCCAATTTTTGTGTTCACTGACTTCTTAAAATGTCTTTGGCTTATATATTAAATAAAATCAAAAGGTAAATTAAAATGCTAGTACATAAAATACTTAAAACAAAAAGCATTGATTTGTCAGAGATGGAGCAATACTCTGCTGGGGTAGTTAGGCTAGTGTATGCTATCAGAGACTGATGTTTATTTACATCCTGAATGCTGCTGATTTCCTGTCTGATTTCTTGCTACAGCTGCACACATAAGGTCCTCCTGCTGCAAACTAGTGTTGAGCCACATGAAAAATTAACTTAAAGTACTGGTGAATTGGGTAATAAAGCTAAACGTTAAAAATTCTAATATTTGCCCACCAGTGGTAGGATTTCTTGTTTCAGTTTTGGTTTTTTTACACTAATTTGTATAAGTTTCTTTTGTGTCTGCATTTTACTGCTCGAAGAAAGCGTTCAGGAACATGACCCTTCCAGAAGCATTTTGCTGAGCAGACTGAAGTCCTAAGAAACCTTTACCTTCAGGACTTATTTTCTGGTTTTCAGCTGGAACAGCTTTCTGGCTTCAACCAGAATACTTCGGTTTGGTTTCTTTGCTTTCTTTGTGCTGTAGCATTTTCTGCAACAGCAATTTTGTTGAAAAGAAGAAACAAGACAATCTGTCCAGGCAGTGGTGCTATGTAGGGAAAAGTTGTAGTGGACTCCTAGCTGGAACAGATACTGTAGCATGAAAAACATGAGATATTGGCTCTGATGGCTACAGGGTTAAAATCAGGGTGAGGGGAGAACAAAAGAGTAACAGTGATGCCCAGAGAGTAAGCTACTGTTTTAAAAACTAAAGTAACAAAATGAACTTTTTCAGCCTCCCTGCTCAGTTTGTCCTTACATTCCTGTAAGAGTTGCGTCAGGCTGGTTTGTTGGGGTTCATGGCAGAAAACCACTGGTACTAGAGCTGGAAGAGGAACTGCTCTGTATGTGCTGCTGGGCAGTCCTGGCTGTTTACTATTGTAGTGTTGTGAGCTCTTTCTAATATTTCACAATGCCTCTTTAAAATTATTGCATGGCGGCTTAATTATGGGTAAAATCTGCCCAAGTGGGCTGGAATAAGAAGAAAAAACTGGGAAGTTGAGTAGAGGAAGAGGGAGTGGCAGAAGAGCTTTGGGATATGAGATGGACGTGAATTCTTGGCTTAAACCAAAAGAGGCCAGGTGAGGCCAGTCCCCCTGGCCTGTGGCATTTGGCTGTGTGTCACTGACTGGGCATGCCCTGAATTTTATCAGCTGATTATTGCAGAGCAATGCAAGGTAGACACAGCAGCATACAGCTGCCAGGGTTTTCTGTGAGAGCCTTCCTGAGGCACTAATGATGCTGCCCAGTGTGCTCCTAGACAAGAGTTTTTTGGAGGCTATGGAAGCAAATACCCTCAGTAGAGTGAGGAGGGAGGATGCACCCCTGGCCTGTAGTTAGCAAGGATCTGGAAAGGATTTGGAAGAACATTAAGCCCTCAGCTGCTTTTACCCCATGCTGCAAGGGAAATGCAAGCAATTACAGCCCTAACTAATGTGCAGTTCAGGTTGCACGTTCTGGGTTCTATCCTTGCAGAGAGCAGGTTTGTGATTCCTGCAACAAATGCTTCTGTGTGGCTCTGATCTGTATTTATACAGACTGACATGCTAGGTGGGCACCAGTGTGTCAACTTCCCTGTGACAACTCCACTTTAGCAGTTAATTGTCCTGTTAGCATTTGCACTCTTAAGCATTAATCTGGGTCTGTGTTTTCTAAAAGCTTCTAAAACTTAACTTCAGATGGACATCCAGATGTTTCTGGGCTTTTTCTCCCTACTGGAAGCATTTAATGTTGCATTTTAACACTGCAAGCTGTGTGATCCTTTGCAATCAAACTTTAATTCACTGGCTCCTCTTCATTTGGCCTAAGTAACTTTTCAGACTTTTGTATCCCAGTGTATGACTGTGCAAAAGAAGTATGGATTAAAAACAGAAATCTTCTGTCAGGAGTTAGTGTTGAAATTCTGTAGTTGTTGGAGTGTTTTCCATGGTGTAATTTCGATGTAGCTGTAAGCAGATCGTGGTTTGTGCTTTGCCATGCAAGAGCACTTGGGCGGAAGTGGCAGCACATGTCACCAGGCTTGCTCTGAATGTGTGTAGCTCACCACTTCCTCATACTGAAGTGAAAAAGCAACAGAAACATCAGTTTCTAGTTCATTTTAACCTCCAAAATGTTACAGTTGCAGAGGTACTTACAGCCTTTCCCTTTATATTCTTCTTTTAGCTTTGAAATAAATAATTGAGAATTTGGGTGAAGTTCACACTAGAAATCTTAAGTTCTGAGAAGATACTTTTTGTGCAGGTCCTGACTTTTAGAAGTCATCAAAGGAGTGGTTGTATAAATCATTTCAGTGCTGCAAGGAAAATGAGTAACCACGAGAAACCAGTCTGTGCAAGAGCTGGATTGGTGCACATGGGAAGCTTGTGCTGCAGTCAGGAGTCCTTCTCAGAAAGCCTCCCCTACAGGATCAGTCACTGCTGTGCCTCAGCTTCAGCAGCTCACAGTGCAGGCAGAATTCTCTTTCAACCACAGCAGTCTCTGAATCCAGTTTTCCTGCTAGTTGTTTCCCAAAGCTTCAGGCCTAGACACAAATGAACTTTTAGAACTGATTTAATTTGCTGTTGCCACAATAAAATGCCCTTTCCAGAGAAATCCATATTTGTGCTTCATAACCTTTGAGGCCAAAACAAAATCTATTCAGGGCAAAGGTCATTTGTTTTCAGATCTGAATACAATTATGTGTGATTTCAGCAGCTGTGATTGCACCTAGTTAGGAGAAAAAATTTTACAACAGGGCAGGCAATATCCTCTGCAATGTAAAATGGAAACACTTGCCGAAATTATGTTACAGAGGATAGGCGTTTTTTGAAAGTGCATATAATTTTTATGTCATTTTTAGAAGAGTGTGAATTAATTAAAGTATCTTTTTTCCTACCAGTGAATCTTGTGAAATTGCAATTGTACTAGTAATCGTAGCGTTTTAAATTAATGCAATTAATTTTGTATGCTGTTTAAGTGCTGATGTGGTAGTTTTGCTCGTAATTTGTAGTCTAACTAATGAGCTATGTATCCATGGCACATTAAGTGGCTGAAAGTTGTTCTTTTCAGTATATTAAAATAGTAATATTGCATGTGAGAAGAATGAAATTCAAATAACTAATGAACATCGATATATTCCGTTTCTACTGTGGTGTTGTAAAAACTCCCATAGCTTCCTGTTTAGTGGATGGATGAATTCTTAAAGCTAGAAACAGCATTTTTGCAATTAAGATACTTTTGATAATTGTAAATTAAATCATGTTTTAAGAAAGTTTATTTAATTTCTTCTAACTTATCCCCATCTTTTACAAACTACAACTAAGTATCAAGTAACTATTTAAGATGCAGTGAAGAAAAAGTGGGCCATTTGTTTCCAAACCAATTAATTTGGGGGATACTGTCACAAGATTGAAACATCTGGCAGTCATGTAGTAGTGAGACTTGAGCAGTCTCAATTTGACCTGTGTTGTAATACAGATTTAGAGATCCAAAAGTTAAAGTAGTTAGGATTAAGGGGCTAGTCTGTTTGGAAATCCATTTCACCCCTCTAAACCTTCAAAAGACATTATTAAGCCCTTCTGAATTCATTTTTTCAATCTTTTTTAAAAGCCTATGGCTTAAAATCTGAAATTTATTTTCAAAATCAGTCTGAGAACTGATGGGTACCATGTGGAAGTATAAAGGGGAACAGGAGAGAAGTGTTTTCTTGATGATTTTTGGAGCTTCCTAGAAAATCTAATTGTCCCCAAATGAGTATTCTTGGAAAAGGAGTCTTGTATCTCCTGTGTTGTATTTACTGTGATGTCTGATTAGATTGCATCAAACATCAGTTTTTAAAAGTAGATGCTGGCTTTGAAAAGGAACTGAGGGGTCACAGGATTTATTTCTGACTCTGAGCCAGAGGTGCCAGGGAATTGACTTAAACTGCAGGGACTAGTCAGATGTTCAGGAGAAATACACAGTGACCTTGTTGGTGTGAAATGGAAGGACCTGGAGATCAAGCCTTCCTCTAATGATCTTGCCTAACTAGTACTGAGCCTGAGTATGGCCTGCTTTCATTGTGCAGAATAATTTATCCTTATTATATACTATGTGGATGTTGGATGCAGCTGAGAACTTCGTGCATTCTCAGCACTTCCAAGTGTGTGGAAGAAATTGCAGCTTCAGAATGGTTCTTTTGACTAAGTTTGCTTTTACCAAATTGCCAAAAGGAAACTGAACACTTCCTTTTCATTAAATGCAAAACTGAGGAGTATCTCTTTCTCTGGCAGGAATCGACTTTAAAATCAGAACAATAGAATTAGATGGAAAGAAAATCAAGCTACAGATATGGTAAGTATTCCAAAGTAATTCAGGTTTTCAATTAATTCACTTTGAGAAAGAATACTTCAAAGCTTTTGAGCTTCAGTGTACCAGAAGTTTCATACCTTTTATTAATTTACTGTTCATAAGGTTTATGCTTTCTTCTGGCTTGCCCTTGCAGTGGTTCTGCTTCAGTAGCACTAGAAATAGCCTGCTCACATGCAAGCATTACAGCAATTTCCTAGTTTATCAAAAACTGTCCTCTTAAATGTACCTTTACATTTAAGATGTGGAGGAGAAATATTAACTCAGTAGCTGTAAGCTAAAATATGCAAGCCAATAAAAGGTAATCTCCTCTGGTACTTTGATACCTGGTTGTACTCACCAAGGCACAGGTGAGTGCTAATTCCTTGCATGGTGGCTTACTAGAAACTGGGTCTTCTGAGCCAGGATCCTTGTGACTGAGGAGGTGCAGTGCCACAAGTGGCTGATAAAAATGTTCTGTCTGTAATATAGGTTAAAAAATCTGGGTTTTGTCAGGCCTTTGGGGTTCAGCTCTCCCGAGGTGTGACTGGTATCACCAAATATATAATGTATCCAAACACTTGGGTCTGCTGGGTCACTCACAGACAGGTGCTGCTTTCAGGTCAGCCAGGACAGAACACCAGCACACTGAGCTGTAGTGGCTGAACTTAGCAGCAAACTGGATGTGACAGTGCACTATCCTGAAATACTTTATTGCTGTGTGGTTTAACTTCTGTTTAAGACAGGACGTGGATGCATCAGAGCTTTTTATTTTGAATTACTGGAGGGCAGGCTGTGTACTGCTGAGTTTTATTGCTTGCATGAAAACTGGAGTGGTTTTGTGCCACGTTTCTGGTGCTGCTCTAACTGCTGATGTAAGGAGGGTAGCTTAGGAGTGAGGAGACTGCTGAGGGCTGAAGAAACTTGTGCAAACAGCCAAAGGTGTGTTTTTCCCAATGAACAAGTATCAATGCATTGTTACTCTTCAATAAGGCATCTCATGAGTGTAAAACAAATCCTTTTTTTCACTGACTTGTAGGGATACAGCAGGCCAGGAGAGATTCCGCACAATCACAACAGCTTACTACAGAGGAGCCATGGTGAGTGCTCACACTTCCAAAAACCTAAACACAAAAACCTAAACATAGCTAGTGGAACTGGTTTGCTGCTCCTAAGTTTGTGTCGTGTAAGTCTTCCACTGAGGACTGGATAATTGTGGCTTGAGAGGTGGGGAATGAAGTTTGTGGTTTGGTTGGGGGTTTACTCTTTGTTTTTCCTTTTTTTAATTGCTGGTACTCAGTCTAGGCCTGTTTTTTGTGATGAAACTTCCAGCCCTATTGTCTTCTTTAATATAATTAAAATTTCTGCAGATTTTAATAAAATAAGTTACCAAGCTTTAATCAGAGAGGTTTGGTTTTTTTTTAAATGCAGTCAACACCTTTAAACACTTGCAGTGTTTCAAAAATGGATAATGAATTATTTTAATATTAAAAGTGTGTTTCACTGAATTGCTTTTCCTTCAGCCAGTAGAGAATGCAAAGTCTGGGCTAGAAATACAATCACCTGCAACACCTACTGTTATGTTTTCCTCCACTGAGAGTGACTTGAAGTCAAATAATTGACTTAAAGCCTGCACCCTTGTGGTACAATGCTTGTAATGGTTCTTAATGCTATGTTTTGAGATATTTTATGTTGGGACACCTTTAATTTTGACTTGGTGGTTACTCCCTGTGCTGCTGTTTGCAGTTCTTTCTGCTTTGTATGAACAGATCTGTGACATTCATAGGCTGTGGGTCCAAATAACTCCACTGTCACAGAGCACAGGGAGAAATAATAATGGTTGTGGCACTGTATTAGAGCTCTCCAGTGCTTAAAAAGGCTTTTTCACTGACCTGGTCTTCTCCCCAGTCCATGGCCAAGGACTTCTGTTTTTCCTATGGGGAATGATTGGAAAGGCCCTAGGAAATGGAGGTGAACCTTGCAGTCTGTCCTCAAGGCTCTCTGGTTTCTCATGCTTTGCTAACTGTTGGGATCCCATGCCAGTGTATGTACAGAATTGCTGGAAAAAGCTAAAGCTTCTGGGAGAGCCCCAGGGGTAAAAGTTTCTGCTGGTTGGAGCTGACAGGTTTGGTATCCTGGACTGCTTAAAGCTGCTGCATCTAAATGTGACTTTAACCAGAGATCCTGGTGGCTGGTGTGGTACAATTTCTAAACTTGCCCTGACTGTAGGCTAATAATGAAAAGCTTTGTATAGGTGGAGTGTTTAACCTCTAACAGTGGCAAAAAATGTTAAATAGTAATATTGTGGGTAAATTCCAAGCCATGGGATAATGCCTTGAGACAAGACTTACCTATAATCCAGTGCTGAATTTTTTTTTAACTATAATTAAAACTACAGCATACATCAAAAGTCAGCCAATAGTACTAGCTCATCTAACTAGATTTTCCTAACTTTATTTAGGGAATTATGCTGGTGTATGACATCACAAATGAAAAGTCTTTTGACAACATAAAAAATTGGATAAGAAACATAGAAGAGGTAAGTGCTTTGTTCCATTTTATGATTTCCCTGGGACAAATAAAAATCAAGTAATTACTCACTTCCATTGCAGTAGCCAGCATACATGGCCATGCACCACTTAGGGGTAAAGTGCCTCCTGTTACATTTCCAGAGCAGCCAAATGCCTGTGCATGTGTGCAGCCTGCTACAGAGCTCATGGCACACATTTGATCTATTACAGTACATGGGCAAATGTAATCTAGGGGTATTTAATCCAGCCTATTTTAATATTTTAATTGCTTTTTTCAAGAGTCAGCCTCTCTCAGTAATGCCTTCATATTAGATAATTTCTCTAAAATAAAATAGTCTGTTGTGGAGGAGTTTGACACACAAGTTTCTTTTCAACAATAATGCACTTTGTTCCTGAGAGATTACTTTTTCTTCTTCCAGCATGCCTCTTCAGATGTAGAAAGAATGATCTTGGGTAACAAATGTGATATGAATGAAAAAAGACAAGTCTCAAAAGAAAAAGGGGAGAAGGTAAGATTTGGTAACTCACCTTAATTAGAAGCCTACTTCTTGTAGGATTTTAGCTTCTGTGTGTTTGATATGTTTTAGGCACGTGAGAGAGAATGGGTCTCAAATCTCTTTGTTTCAGAAACTTTTACATATATAGGATGCCAGGTTTGGGGTTTTTTGTTTTTAAATAGCAGTTAACTGTCTTCAGGTTTGAATAAACTTAATGGTACTGTTGTCTTGAGGGCAAGATCCTGTAAAGAATGTTGACCTTTGCTATAGCATGAAGTATTCTAGAGCTCAATATAAAGTTTTCTATGTAGTTTGACCACCTTGTACTCAATTCACTGTGGTGGTTACTTATTCTAGTTATAAGTGCTGTTACTAAAGCTTAAGTAATTAATTAGTTGTTCTACAGAACAAACAAGTGAGGAAGAATACTACAAAATCTCTTGTGTACAGCTGAAGTAGTCTAGCTCTTGGTAACATAGCTTATGGGATGGTTGCATTGTAGTTCTCTGGTCCACAATCTGTATCAAGAAAGATTGTACCTTCATGATTTTTTAGAGCCTAAATAAGTATTTTGGTCAGAAATTAATGTCCTTTTTTTGTTTTGTTTTGACTTTATGTGAGAGTATGATGAGTTCTAATACTTTATCTCATAGTCTTTAATGTCTTGCAAGAGAAAATAGAAGTGAAGCTAGCTTGGTTTGGTTTTTAAAGCTTGCTGTAGCATGCAGCATCTATTCTATTATGAACCTATTGTGAACCTGGGTGAAACAATACTTCTACAAAGGAACTTCAAAGCCACTGAAAAACTTTAACCTCTCTTCCAGTTAGCAATTGATTACGGAATCAAATTTTTGGAGACAAGTGCAAAATCCAGCATAAATGTGGAAGAGGTAAGAGATGGGTGCTACGCTTGGGTGTTCCCTGAATGACTTCTCTGGAGGTGTGCTTCATGGTCTGCTGGGCTTTCTCACCTGCCCTGGGACCTGAAGTCCCAGCTGTACTCCTGGGTCTACTGCTATGATCCACCTGTTTCTGGCTTTCTGGTAGTGTCTGGAATTGTTGTAAAAATGGGTATTAACAGAGTGGTTTACTATTACTGTTGAAAACAGTTGCCTTAGATGTCTGTGCCTTGCTGCTTAAATTTCAGGTCCTTTTGGGCAATTAATAGGTTTAATTTTAGAACAGTGCCTTGTGCAGGAAATGGGATTCTTTACTTTCAGGGTAACATGCTACTGTGTCACAGAGCCTTCAGATTACTACTAAATACATGCTGTGCAGATGAGGCTGAAAATTCATGTATTAACGTGAACATCAGGTCATGAGCTCATGTTAGAGGAGGAAGAAGTGGTACAATGCTATTTATAGATTTATAGATTTATAATCTCTTTTCCTGCAAATAAATTTCGTGCTAAACCCACAAGATCTAAGTGAGAGCTTAAGGAAATAGAGTGGGAAGGAAGAGTGGCCCAAGTCCAGTCTGTCTTGCTATAAATCACTCGTGTCATCTCAGGGAGGGTGGGGGAGGATCTGAGCTGTATAAGAAGTGTGGACAAAAAAAATAACTCTATCAAAGGCCAGTTAAATTAAGATTTATTCACCCAACAATGTAGACTTGTGTTATCCTTATACCTAATCATTTAAAAGTCTTTTTAGGGGATTTTTTTTTTTTCTTTAAGAGTCCTGCAAACACCTACTTAATTCAGCTCATGCATCTGACAAGTTAACTAGAAATTGAAGACATTGTTACTTTAAAATAACAAGAGGGGTGTTGTGCCAGCCAGGCTGTTTTTTTTCTGATTGTGGGGTCATTGTTTTACAGGATAGAGTTAGAATGGACTGATCTGCATCATGCTGCATCTGGAGCGGCTTGATCTGATTTTCAGTGTCCTTGTGATTCTTAGAGCAGACTCTGGAAGTGGGACCATGGGGAGTCATTTCCAGAGGGGAGACCTGCGTTCCTCTGGAGGGTCAACTTGCTCTGTCATGACATGGCAGTTTCATTTTAACCCCTGCACATCATGAAATGCACAGCAGTAGTTTGTGCTTACTCCAGAATGTTTGGCTCTCTAAATATTTTTTTAAATTGTCACATGAATGGTGAAGAAAACATTAAAAAATGCAGCTGGTGTAGGCATTTGGCAATCACTAATGATTTGGTTTACTTTCCACCAAATACTTTACTTGCAGGGAGTTACACAATTGTGATATTCTTGGGATCAGAAGAGAAATAATTTATTTGTTGTGGTTTATTTACATTAAATGAGTGCCTGTCTATGGCTATATTCCAAACACAATGGGAGGGGAAGTGTTTATACTTCTTACATTCTGGAACTGTCCTTTCATTATTAGGGTCTCCAGACAGCCTAAAGTCTTGCTTTTTCCTACTCCTGGAGAATTGCAGAGCTTTCCTGCTACAGAAGTTTCTTTGCTCCTTCATACATTGAAATCTGGGATGCTGAGATTTGCCAGAGTAATTATTCATGGGTTTTTGTCTTTAATTGAGATACTGGAAGCTTAAATAGCCTTATAGATAGTCCAGAGTAAAAACTTTGGAGGACAGAAAGCAAGCTAACCTTAATGTGAATTCCCAGGCCTGCCCTTCTCAGACCTCTCTGGGTTCCTAATTGTGATGCACAGTTCAGTTTAGGGGGGTAATAAAAACAGGATTAGCAAATACAGCCTTGTCTTCAGCTGATTTTTTTTTCTCTCCCAGAGGTGTGCAATAGAAAGGTCTGTTCATTTGCTTCAAAGATTGGCGAGATGGAGGCTAAAAATAAATAGTTTTTTCTTGTAAAGGACATTTGCTGAAGTTTTACATATACAGATATTGTACATAGAGTGTCTTGCAACTCAAAGTGCTTCTAGTGGCCTACAGAGCACTGTATGGTTAATGTATCTGTCTAGTCCAAGTTTATAATGTCCTTAATGTGTCTTGTGCCTAACTCTTGTTTTTCTTTATTTCCCCTCCTCACCAGGCATTTTTCACACTTGCACGAGACATTATGACAAAGCTCAACAGAAAAATGGTTTGTATTTCCAATTAGCATACAAACTAGATAGAGTGAGAGGACAGTATCATAATACTGAGTAGTAACCCTACCAAAATCTCCTAGGGATTTACTAGATAAAATTTGAGCAGTGATTTATCACACTTTATTACACATCAGTGCATAACTATTCATTATTTTGCATGAGAATTAACATTGGGCAGCCTGAAACTGATGTGTTGTTCCAAAATGCAGTAGTGTGATCCGTGTTATTATGTAGTCTCTTCTCCAGCTAATTCTTGAGATTTGGGTTGTTATATAAATGTTTATATTTTTTTACCAAATGATTAATGAAGTCTGGATAACTGAGGAGCTCAAGTCGAATCAGATCTCTGCTCTGGTTATTACTTTGCAAGCAGAGGAAGTGGGAAGGGAGACTAGGAAAGCTAGAGATGCTATTTTCTGCATTTATGATGTTGACACTCTTTTCTCTTTCAGAATGACAACAGTTCATCGGGGGCAGGTGGGCCAGTAAAAATAACAGAAAATCGATCTAAGAAGAGCAGCTTCTTTCGATGCACGCTACTTTGATGAACTTCTAATGATAAGACTGCAGCACACTTAGAACCTTTTCTGCTTCTTTGAAAGCACAGGGTCACAAAGCCTCAGAAATAATACCACCAAGCTGCTGCTGAGAGCTCCATTGAACGTAGACTGCGATACACAAATACCAAGCGGATTTTGCTCACTAAGCCTATTGACCTGTCAGGCTCTTCTTTCTCAGATATGGAAGCTATGAAGTGGAGACACAAATGCAAGATTTAACTTGTTTTCCTTTTTTACTTTCTGTTTTATTGCCTGTTGCAAAAGCTGCTATGTTTCTTTTAACTTTGCACATCCATATTGGCCTCTTACTGCCTGTTACAGCACAATCTTACATTTGTATTTGCACAGTTTGACTTGTAAGTAAGATTCTTAACAGATTTGTGCACAGTTTTATTTCTCTTTTTAAACAAATTTATTTTCAAGCAGAAGAGCCAGGGGAAAAAATTGAGTCTCATTTCCATTATTTTCTATGCTGTATACTCATGGCCATGCAGTATGGATGTTGTTGCTCTAGTGATGAGAATTACTGTAACAATTGGCATTTAACAAATTTGTACAGATTTTGTCTCTTAGATGCACAAATCTGTTCATGCAGAAGCTATGGCTTCTATCCTGAATGTAGTATGCTTTTCTTTCTTTACCAGACTTAGCAAAGTTGTGTTCTGAATTGCCAGTCACTGTCTGATTCACAGATGCACCTTTCAGTTATTTGAATAAACACAGTGTCTTTCCTCACTTAACTTCCCTTGTTAGCTCAGACTGTCTGCTCCTTTTTTTGTTTCTGATGAGGAAGCACACTCTGGATTTGAAATCACCACAAATTGGCCTCATCACTATCACTTAAGTGGCTTGTGGAAGCTGAATGCATGGGTTTTGAGTAACCTCTTTGTGGATTCACTTGTTGAGAAATGACTGCTTCTAAAGGTGACTTCCATTTCTACTCTTAATTCTAAGGATAGTTTGTTAATGTTTGTAAGCATTGGCACTAAGGAAGCCTCTCATTAGGGCTATAATGTACTCCTAGTTCTGCTGTTAATGCTGAATGTGTGTCTTTGGTCTGCTCAAGCAGTTGTTTTTTCATCAAAAACTGGTACAGTGACCTAGACTGTTAGAAGCAGAGGTGAAACATAGTTGCCTTTTTTTACTCAACTGAGCATTGTATAACCTAGTCTTTGTTCTACTACTTTTTTATTGTCTTCTGAAAAATTTCCTCAATGAGCAATTAAAACAGGTGCTTTAGTTCTGTTGGTGTGCCAAACGTGGACCATTGTAAGCTTTAACTACAAGTTTGTGTCCAGCATGTTTGCTGTTAGGGGATGGGTGTGTTCTGTCATTGTCAAAGGAAATGTCTGACATGCTTTTGCTTCACTTGGTTGTCTGGAGTTGTAAACAGTGAGTTAGTTGTTACCACAGAGAACCATTTTGTTGTGTCAGGTACTGAATTTGTCATCTCTGGGTCTGTTTGAAACAGTTCGAAAGCGAACAGGCCAATAGCGTTAGATGTAAAGCTTTTGATTTTAAAGGGTTTAAACTTAGTAGCTGGTTCCATAAAGTTTTAGGTGGTTATCAGCCTGTCCCCACACGTAGTTTAATAGTAGTTCTTGTAACTAGACGGTGGATCTCATAAACTGCTGTTGCTGCACTAGAACAGAGAAACCTTCATGGCAACAAGGTTTAGTGAAAAAACAAAGCAACCCTAACTGCTCTGTTGTCTACCCTTGATGTTTTTCTTGGACAGGCTAAAGCAGTTATGTTTTCTGTATGGTTAAAAAAAGTGCTTCTATACAGAAAGTGTTGTGACACCAATTATGAATGTTGTTTATTTTCAGTAATTTACCTCTGACTTACTTGGTGTCGTAATACTTTGATTTTTATCTCAGGGGTTGTCTGCAAACCAAAACTGACATGTTCTGTGTTTGGCACTGTTTACAGAATGCTTTGTATTGTTTTTCCTGTCTTCACTGTGTGGTTAAATGTTCATTCAATATTAGTCTCCATGAACTTCCCTTTGAAAGAGCCTGTAAGTAGTAGAGTCTATGAAGTGCTTCTTGAAGCAGCAGCGAATTGGGGTATCTGCTCTGTATGGGGGAGGGTGGGAGGGAGAAAAGAACTTGCTATTTTCTTACATTTAGCTGTGCTAAACTGTACATAAATGTGAGGTAAGACCATAGGAAATTCACTTTATGCATGAGAAAGTACTGCAGTAAATATTTCCCTTTGCTTATTGTTCGTGTACAGTTCATCTTTTTCTATTTGTAGAAGAATTTAATGCAATTTTGTTGTCATCTGCTGAAACTGAAGAATTCTAATTTCATGTGATCTTATGGATAAGGTAAAATGCAGATTTCTTTCTTTATGTCTTTGCCCCCACCCCACTTCTCCAGCAGTATTAAATGGCTGAGTGGCTGCACTTTATCAGTGTGCTAACTTTTGGTCAGTAGAGACCTTTCTGTGTACAGTCTGCCCTGTCAGACGTGGGAAAATGTGCTGTATCTTAGCATGCAAATCAGCTGTATGTTTTACTGGGATATTTTAGCTATGGTTTCCTCTAGACAAGCGGGTGATGATAATGGTATGTTCTGCCTATGCATCAGATGCTGGGTATTACAGGCTTTTCTAATATCACTATGATTGTTTTGTGCAGTCTCTGTTGTTACTTTGCTCAAGACTATATAATCTTAAGTTTTGAAGGACTCTTAACTATACCTCAGTCAACTAGTTAGTACTCTAATGCCCATTAGAATGAAAGTCATATACTTATGATTCACTTAGCAGCAATTGTATTTCTGTTTTCTTCCAGAAATTGCCATTAACCTTTCAGGAAAGCAGACATTTTTGGGTGGATTTCAATAAAACAAATATGCTGCTTATGCTTTGGAGTTTTAGGAGAACTTTCCCTCAGCCCCATGCCTGTGCACTATATCTTGACCTATGTTTTTCTAAATGGTTTTTACAAAAAAGCCAAATGAAAAACAAACTGGTCTCAGTGCTTTGCAATTTTAGCTTTCAGTCTGTGCTCAGCAAAACATGCACAAGAATTTTTTGTTGAGTGTATATAGAATGTGTTATTGACTTATCTGGGAGTTCTAATATTGCTAAAGCTTAAACCACTCATGAAACTTAATGCAGCTCACTTTTCTCTTTGGGGGACAGTCTCAAAAATGCTGATTGAATTTTCAGACCTGTAGTTCTTTTTACAGAATATTTCCCATTGTGACTTTCTCATACTAGTCTGCTGAAGTTAAGAGAATTACGTGAATCATTTTCACAAGTGAATAAAGAAGTCTTGAATGTACATATCACATTAAAATATTGTGAAAACATAATGATTTGAAAGTCCATCAATAATATGTAAAATGCATAAATGTGTTATTTGTGAAAATGCATCTGTTGTTGGGTTACCTGTTAATGTAACAGAATTTTTGCAATGTTAAACTTGCTAAGGATTGGTCTGTAGGTAATAATAGGTCTTTTTTCTCCTCTGTTCATTGAACTGCTTATACCATTCTCACTCTTATAAATAAAACTTGTATTTCTTTCTTCCAAAAAAAAGCAGGATTTACATTGATTTTTCTTGTTTCTGGTGAATTTAACTATTTCAGTGCATTCCTATGGCCTTACGAACATTTTTGCAAATAAAACTTCAATTACCATTATTTTAATGCTACATAGCTACTAAATTCAGAATAAAAAGTATAGTCCTTGAGAAAATGCTTAATTTTGAAATAGAAGTGTTCTGCTGTGTGTGTTTAAGCACATTTTACCTCTGGTATAAAGGTGTAATGTGAAAAGCTCCTGCAGATAAAAGTGAACTTGTCATGTGGTTAACTTGTAAACCTAATCATTAAATGTGTATTGATGTATATAGATAAAAAACCCCAAACCCAGCTCCTAAGAAAACCTTCATAGTCCAATAGTTTTATTATTTCATGTGAACTTTTTTACAATGTGTGTCTCAAATAAAAGTTACATAATGAAAAGCATTTTGGAGTATTTTGTATGAAATATTCCACATAGTTTTTATACAGTTGGCATTTCCACTCTACTTTTGATACATTTGTTGTGGAAAGGTGTCCTGCTGGGTTGTATCTGCAAAGCTTAGTTCAGTGATGAACCACAAGGGTTTTTGTCTGTCTTTGCTTGTTCCTAAACTTCACTGTTCTTTAGAGTTGTCCAGAAAAATCCTTTCTTTCTGTAGTGATTGCTTAAATCTAATTATATTATTTTGATGACCTTCAGTTTCCTAGGAAACCGTTTTTCCAGACGTTTAGTGTCATGAAATGCCCTTTTAAAGTAACTTCTGAGCAATGCCTGTAAAGGTAACATGAGACACAATTTCCAGTTTGATTAAGAATGATCTACTGACTTAAGCTGTTAACATTCTCCTTTTTTGTGGTTGTTTCAAATCAGCATTATTTGAAAGGTATGATTCTGAAATAACCTGCACAAATATTGCATCAATATAGCAAATACTGTTTGTCCAGTGTCCTTCAACTGAGGAATAAATCCCAAACTGAGGGATTTGGCAAATAGTTGTTAGCTGTTATGTTAGCAATAGTTTTTGCCTTCCAAATTATTGTGATTTGGCACAGCTCACAGCTGGTTCAAAAATTAAAAAACCTAAGGAGAGAAGGGTTTTATCTACCCAAGACAAAAGCAAGTTAATAGCTGAGACATCCTAAGAAGTGAGTGGGAAACTCAGGGGTGACAGATAGCTTCTAAAGTGTGTTCTGTATGTGTTCCCCTCATCGGCTGAGGTTAGCTGAAAGGATAGATTGTCTCCACCCTTAGCAACACAAAGCTGGAGTTCCATCCTTGTTGCACCATACTGTTTCTTGGTTCTGGTTTGCTTTGTTGCACTTGTTTGCAGACTTCTGGCTGACAAAATTGCTGTTTTAGGAGCAGCTGTTTGAGCATTCTTACATATGCCCTAGATCTAAATTGGGTTTAGATGCTCAGCAGTCCTTAAGTCCTCACAGTAGTTAGTGACATTTTAAGTACACTTGCATTCTGCATTTGTTAAAAGGAAGTAGCAGACATACCTACACTACATAAAAATGGTGATTTGTTACAGCTTCTGTCTGGATCTATTTTTGGTGGCAGACTAGCAGTTATGACACAAATACTGCCCTCTTGAAATCAGAGGCAAGTTGTTGGTACACGTGTAGAATGGATCCACTTTTTATAATGTGGTAAATTGGCTTTTTTGTAAATTATTCTTCCAACTTGGTTGACCAGCACCTCTTAAGAATTCTTGAACTATACCAAAATCATCAATATAAAAAGATTTCATAATAATTTTTCTTTAGAAAGATTCTCATGTTCAAAAGATGAGATAGATAAATGAAGCTTTTGTCTCACCATCTGGAGATTTAAAGAAAAGGCATGACATGGAATGCAAAACATACTGAAAGGTTGTGCTCTTGTATCTGTTGTAGTTGATTCAAAAATTTTTTACTGTCTTCAGCAGAGCACATCAGCAAGAAGCTGCTGGTGTGAAGAAAGGCTGCACGAGTTCTGAGTACATAGCTGGTACTAGTCGTTAGTTCAATTTGTGAAATAAAGTTGTAAATTATGAGCAGGATAGGAGCATTTTCCCCATCTGAGGAATTAACAGGTTTAATCAACTGAGGAAAGTGTGTGTAACTTAAACTGTACTACTGATACACCGTACTGCCTCCACTGTGACCAAGAACTCTGTGAACGTCCACTGAGTCTTGAGAATTTCACCCTAGTTAATCTTAAATATCTTCCTTGAGTAGGTGGCTGAGGTGCTTACTGCAGTTGTGACCTTTTCTGCCTCTGCCACCCATCCAGAGGCGTGTCCATGACACACAGCTCTGTGTCCCACAGCCTCCTGTTGGTGCTGGGCTCTCAGATCCCTGGTCTTGCTTCCACACAGGTCTTGGTTTCTCGGGGAAATGCTGCCATTGTGCTCGCTGACCTTTCTGCCTTGGTTTAACGCCTTTGTAGAACAGCATGAAGGGACGATGCTCCTGAGACTTCCTTTGGGACAGGAGCTGGCAGGGCCCCGGGCTGACGCCCTTCGCTGCGTCCTCTCTCAGTGCTGCCCCACCCACAGACATTTTTGTATGCAGTGGAAAAGTGCAGACTTCACTTACCCAACTCACTACAAGTGAAGTGAAAATTATAAAACTTTTTTTTTTTTTTTGTAAGAAAAGGTGAATGTTTAATTTATTTTTATGCTGTTTGCAAATCTGTACTGCTACTTTTACTTACTATTTTTTTTTTTTTTCCCCCTCCAGGCAACATAGGAACTAACTAGCTCTGGCCTGTATTGTAGATGAAGGACAGAATTTCTTCAACAAGGCTGAACAACTTCCGTCCCTGTCTTAATGCTGCTGAATGCTTCTTCTGAGCTTCCTCACCCAAACTGCAATGACTTTGTAACCCTCACACTTGTGCTCTGAACCAATAAAACACAGGCAAAAGGCAACCACATGTGTCCTATGTACTGTTTATATGTAATTTTCCAGAACAGGACTGGTAGATGTACATGAAACTAGGAAATGGCTGTGCATCTCCTTGTGTCAGCTGTGAGGACAGACTAGCCTTTAAAACCACGTCTTGATTGATTAATTGAGTTCTGCTGTTTAGGCAGACGGCTGCGTTACTGGGCCTTGCTTGAAGGGAGGACAGGGACAAGCCCAGTGCTGCACGAACCTGGGAGGGAACCCTTCCCTTTCCTTATAGGAGCGGCGAGACCCCCGGCTCGCCTCGCTGAGGGGACCGGGAGGGGAGGGATCAGCGGCAACATCCCCCTGCCGTGTCCCGGTGAGGAGGCCGGCGGTGGGACCCGCTGCCGTGTCCCGGTGAGGGGATCAGCGGTGAGGCCCACCTCCCTGTCTTGGTGAGGAGGCCGGCGGTGTGGCCCCCGTGCCCATCCCGGTGAGGGGATCAGCGGCAACATCCCCCTGCCGTGTCCCGGTGAGGAGGCCGGCGCAGGCCTCGGGCCGCCCGCGGCCCTGGCAGCGTGAGGCGGGCGCGCTGCGGTCGGTGCCGGCGGCAGCCGCAGCCCCAGGGCAGGCAGGGCACGCAGGGCAGGCAGGGCGGGTTCGGGGCAGAGGGCACGGGCTGTCCGCGGAGGGGAGGCCCGCGATGGGGACGGCTCCGAGATGCGCTTTTCTGAGACGGCGAAAGCACCTCCCGCCCGCCCCGGCCTCTCCTCCGCGAGAATATAAAACTTAGGAATCGTCATTGAAAAATTTAATTCTATCAGTTAACCCTTCAACTTTTTCATAAAGACTGCCACCTTTTGGAAAGAAAGATAGTTTAAAACGAAGTTTGTATTTAATTTATCTATAATTTCAACGTGCTCCACTTCTTAGGGTAAGACACCCTTAGAATTTAGAGTGGTGTGGTTTGCTGGAGACCTGTTCTTTGTTATTCATTAAACACCCATGGAAAGCAAAGAACAAAAGAGGAAACTGGTGAAAATTGTCTGCGCCATCTCTTTCAGTTTCTGTGTAGCAATTCCGAAAGGAAAAGCCCTCCTCGATAGTCCTCCAGAGGGCACATGACCTCAGGCTGAGAAAAAGGTTACTAAGGTTTTGTTCAATATACTCCTCCAACAAAATCATAGAGGAATAATGATATAAAACCTAGCAAATATTTTGCTTTTGTCTATATTTTTCTAGTGGATTAATTCCTGGGATGCTCTATAAGGCCTATACAGTCTGCACAGAAGCAGTTAAAGTTTAGTTCTGTAAAAGGAGCTTAGAAATGTTCTGTGCTGGCAGCCTTTAGGCAGCCTGCTGGAAAAGTGAACCAGTGAACATAAATGCAGAGGATCACGGTGCCTGTGCAGATACGAGGTGTGATTATCAATTGAAGAGAAGGGGCTGCTATTTGAATTTATCAGTGAAAAATGAGATGCATCCAAAGTGGCTCCATTTTTATTCATAAGTTTCGACAGCTGTGTGTGTTACTAACTGATAGAAACCTCTTTAGTAAGCTATTGTTGCCATTGCTTAAAAACCGTTTGGTGTTCCTGGGAAGATACTTGGGTCAATCGTATGTAACTATTAAATTTATATTGTATGTGCCTCCAAGAATGTTTTAATATACTAAAGACCATAGGTAGCTAGTTTGGTAGAAAAATAATCCTTGAGTATAACACTTGACTTTCAATTCCTTGTTCCATAGGAAGTGTTCTGGCATTCATGCTTATTTTTACATTTACTTTTGCTATTGTTTCCAGACTTGACTGTATGTTGTTGAGAGGAAGTGAAAGAAGTGACAGCTTCTCTGGCTTTCTCATGTGTGAGTCACTAGATGGTGCCATTTCACTTCTCTTGAATAGAAACTATCTTACACATTCCTTTTAGTGACAGTTGTTGGTCAATTGTTTTCAAAAGAAAACAATTGGTCTTCTGAGTTCTTTTTTTTTTTAACTGTTGGGGGTTTTTTTCTGGACTATGCAGTGTAGATGTGTTGAGTTAATCTAACTAATATATTAATGAAAAGGTGCAAAATTTTAAAGTTCTGATCTTGTAAATTGTCATCAACTTTCAGTTTTATGTTGGTTTTTGTGTTCTACTGATCTAACAACGAGACCAGGCTTTACAAAAATACACATTTTAAAGGTAGAATTGTTTGAGGGTCTTTAAGTATCTGCAGCTAAAGTGAATTATGATTCACCTACTGCTTCAGTGGGGCATAGTGGTTTTCATCCACTGACAGCTCCTCTGCATTTCTCTGTGTACTGAGACACAAAAATAATAGAGTTACCAGTGGCTCATTTATATCTCTTGCTGTAGTTCTGGAATATCACAGAAACCACTTTGTGCAGTTTTGTGTAACATGCTTAAAGTTGTTTGGGGAACAGTTGTTTCGTAATTTCACATGGAAAAGGTATGTCACACAATTCATGTGACAGGCACAAGTGATGGATATTATTTTCAAGTTTAACCACTATATTTTCTGTTTAGCTATCGAAAATGGAGAGGCTTCCAAAGCCAAT